CCATCTATGGCATTTGAAATCTACAACCACTGTATAAGACGCACCTAGTTTTTAGACCCCACATTTTTCCAAAAAAGGTGCGTCTTATACATGGGGAAATATGATATGTAATTTTTCACTCTGCTAGCTGGCTGCACCCTGGGAAAGGGGCTCACTCAAAGAAAACTTTGAAAACCATCCCTCTCCACCTCCAACTTACTCTCCCTACCACAAACCAGGTTAGAACTCTCAAGATGTACTGGAATATACATGTTTGTCCTCTTTACAGCCTAGTCTTTCTGTCTTTTGTGTCCCCTGGCACATAACCTTCATGCAATTGGTGCTTCACAGGTAATGGGTATATTTCTTACATTCTATTTTTATGGTGTCATATTTTCATGTTAATAAAGCTATTGGCTGTTGGACTCAAATTAAGATCTGTAGAATAGGTGACATAATATAAAAAACCTAAATTAAAAAAAAGAACTTCATATGTGTTTAAATTTATTTTTTGAGATAATTTTGGATGAGAAGGTCTTTTGAAGCATCAATGGTTTTAAAAGTAAAAACCACAGTATGGGGTTAACTTTTTCTTCATGGAAGTCCAACCACAATGCTCTATTCTAAGATCTCATGATGGACTCCTTGTCATTTGGGTCTCAGCTTACATGTTACTTTCTCTGAGGAGCCTCCCCTGAGTACCTACCCGAACATCACACCCCTCTCAATACATTACCCATGTCACTCACCACTCTTGTCTTTTTTTATTCATTTGTTTCTTGCATATTATCTGCCATCTAGATAGTAAGCTGCATAGGAGCAGGAACATGGTCCTAGAGTTTAGGACCAGACTATCTTGCAAATTCCTCCGTACTAGTCCCTAGGCCAATGCCTGGCACATGGATCTCTTGCTATTTGAATGAATGAAAAATGAAAGATTGAGCCTTTACTCCATGTCAGGCTCTGAACTGTGTGCTTCATATAGAATCCCACCTGTATCTTTTCCTCACAACTGTAAACTATAGAAATTATTCTCAATTTATGGATGAAGAAAAACTCAAGGAGGCAAAATCACAGCTGAGAAGACTGGCTAATGCCAAAGCCTAATCTCTTCCTACCACTACTGATAATGTGGATTACGAGTTCTCTCATGTCTTTCCCATCAGTCTCCCACACAATTTCCACAATTAATCACAGTTATTAAGTGTTGAGCTTGAATATTTCTTATTGGGACTAAGTGTATTACCAAAGCAGGAAAACCAACCTGAAGTTCAAACAAGTTGAGGTAACTCACACACACTCCTTACAGTCCTTGGGTAAACAAGGGTGGATGGGTTAGTAACAGTCTGACTTACTGGTTTAGGAATTATTTAGACAGAGGTCACACAACCTCACTATCTAGGAAATCTAGATTCAGCTGCCTTAGTAACCACTTCCAAAATCTCAGCTTTTGAATAGTTTGTGAGTTGTTCAGGCATTTTCTCTTTTTTGTGTGTCTCTTCTCTCACCATAGTTTTGATTCACCATAGTTTTGACTTTTGACTAGTTCACTGCTTTTTTTCCCCTTCCTTTTTAACTTTCCGCATCAAGGAATAAGCTGGAGGGGCCGAGATAAAAAACTGGGTAAGTTGCCAGCAACTTTGTAAAGGTATAGTTTTGTCACGCCCCTCACTGTCCTCTCCAACTTTACGTCCTCATCAGGTAAATTAAAAATCGGCTTTCCCCTTGACACTGTTTAAACCGTCATTTCAGTTGACACACACTCTTCTGTCGCACCCCTCTCCCCCATTTCTGTCCCCTGGTCTCTACTTTCATCCGGTCTCACGGGCGCCTAATGTCCAGAAAGCCTGCCAGTGTTGTAGTAAATGCCAGCGCTAGGGAGGGAGTTGAAACCCCAGCCCAGCAAGAGAAACCTACAAATGACTGTGCCCTGTTCCCCTTTCCTCTCCGATCAGGATCTCGCTTTAAGCAGCCAAGAAGTGACTACACGACGAGTCAGACGCGAGGCAAGTGGGGCAAAGGACGTTTTCATCTCGAAGAGGAAAGATATGGGGGGCCCCAGACAGGTCCAGTGCGTTCCCCCGAGGTCCAGGGCGCCTGACCTTCCATAGTGTCTGACCCTCCAGGAGCCAGCGCAGGGCGCAACACGGCACTCCCTCCCGGTCCCCGGGCACGCCCTCTGCCCACGGGGTGACGTCGACCGAGGACTCTGGAAGTCAGTCTGAGTCAGTAGAGCCATCCATTTCAGACGAGACTTGGGAGTCTTCCCACAGCATCCTGAACATCCCGTTCACCAGACTCAGCACGCTGTAATGTACATGGCTATGCCTTCCGGACCAGAATGGGAGCCACGTTTGTCTTGTTCGACTGACTCACGCTTTCCCGCAGAGTCTGGCATATTGTTAGGCACCAATAAATAGTTTATTGCCTAGCCGACTGACTGCCTGAATGACTGAATGAATAAATGCTGGAATGAATGCGTTAAGGGTCGGTGAATCCCTTTCTCATCTCCACAGGTACCCGGGGTCCACCCGGTCTCCTCTCCACCAGACGCCAGGTCCCCTGACTCGGGACAGAACTCACCTTCTCGGCAGGGCTCTCCCGGCGGCAGCCTCACCTCTCCCCCCATGGCCCCCAGACAGGGCTTCCCGAACACAGGCGATCGCTCCTCACCCACCTGGGCTTCTCCTCCTCCCCATGGACCCGCGTTCCCGCGGACCTACGTGGTCGAGGATCCGGGTGTGCTGACCCCGCCCCCGGGCAGCCTCAGCCAATGGGGATTGCTGGGTGGGGCCTCCGCGCGAGCCACGCCCCAAGTTTAGCACTAAATTCTGCCAGCCTTTGATGCAGCGGCAGTGGCCAGGCACTTGTTGTGTGACTGGCGGGATCTCTAACTGCCCTTCGAGACGGCTGCTGGAGCTGCTCAGGGAAGCCAGACACACCCCACAGGGTAAAGGCGTCTCTCCGAGTGTGGAGGCTGCCGAGCTAACTCTCGGGGAGTTTAGTGGCGTGAAAGCTGTGCTGAGGCCCCTTTCTGGCTCGCCCGGGTCGAAAAGTCTCCTGCCGCTGGATTTTGAGGGCCGGGCTTCGCATGTTTTGCGGCTTTTGTATGGAAGTTTTTGGCCACTGAGATTCTGCTCTGATTACCATGCTAAAGTTTATTCTGGTGGCTTTAGAACAGACTTTGCCCTTCTGCGCTATTATCAGCTTCTTCCACGGTCCCTCGGCTTCAAACTCACGCCCCCTCCCCTCTTTTTCTTAGTCATGTAGTTATTTGCAATAAACCCTAGAGGAAAGGCAGTGCTCAAACGGAAACGACTCATTCCTACAAAATACTAATAGATCACATTTATGATATTCTTGCTTTACCATGCACATGTAGGCATTTTATACGTATTAATTCATTATATCTCACAACATTGTCTATTAATTCTATTAATCCCTAGTTCACAGATGAGGGATCATCTGTAAACTAGGCAAAAAGTGAGGTTAAGTAACTTAACCAACTGGTTAGTGGAAGGCTTGGTAGCAATTCACGCAGGAAATGGGTACAATTTCTACAAAGCCATCACCATTGGAATGAGGTAGGTGTCTTTGTGCTCTGGAACTTCACTGAGGGAAGTAGTGTCTGCTCACCTTGCCTTTGCTCTAGGTAGTCATGAACAGTGCTGTTAACTTTATTACCCAAGAGTTTCATAGCAGAGGCCTCAATCTTGCTTTTCTTGTTCTTCTGCTGATGAGGGAAGAGTTAAGAACAGTCATCACAGTACAAGACACACACGTTCACATGTAGATGGCTTGGTGAAGGAATAGCATGGGGAGGGGAATAGGTGAAGGTTGGAAGGGAGGGCGATTTATGCCAAATTTGGATAACAAACCTTAAAACTTAAATTTCTATGTAAGCATTTCGTTGCACATCAGATTTGAAAATTTTGCCTTTATCAAAGATTGGTGATAATAGTAAGCGTGATCTAAAGCATTATTTATTACTTATTTATTTAACTAACACTTAAGTAACACTAACGCTTTATTTAACACTTATTTATTTAACTAACATTTATTTAACTAAGACTAGCATTTATGTGGGCAAGCACTATTCAGAGCACTTTATAAATATTTGCTTTTTAAATCATTGTAATAGGTATTATTATTAATTCCCACTTTACAGATGAGGAAAGGGAGGCAGGCACATAGAGGTTAAGCAACTTGCCTATGGACACAGTTAGCAAGTGGTGGAGCTGGGATGCTAACTAAGGAAGTCTGGCTTCAGAATCGGTGCTCTTAACCTATTTGCTAATTGAAAAATTTAAAAAACCTAATGGAATAAAAAAAACCTAAAAATTTACCTTTGAGAGAATTTTTAAATAAAAATCAAATTCCAGTTTCTAATTAAATTCTATTTTAGGTAGGAGGCACTTTGGTGTAATTCTTGTTTGGGGTTCTGAAAATAAAAACACAAAAAATATTTAAACTTATTTAAGATCATTGTTTTCCCAGTTTAAATATTGCTTAGCAGAACTTTA